CCACTCAGTTGCTTCGACGGCGGTGGGCTGCCTGTCGTGCGGCCAGTCACTGGGCACATCAGCGTCACCGCTACTCGAGGGACCTGCACCCTCCCAGCTGTGGCGCGCGTCTGGGTCGGACGGTTCTGGGATCTCCACGCCCTTTCGCTCTGCATCTAGCCTGCTCTCCGCTAATGCTGCCTCTAACTGCGCGTTCTCCTCCTCGAGATCGCGCTTCAGTTTCTCCTGGCGCCTCTGCTCATCGATCTTCTCCTGCTCGATGGAGTCGTTGATGGCTGTGGCCTCGCCCGCGGCACCGTCTGATGCACTGCTGTCCTCAACTGCAACGCACTCTGCTTCACCACCCGCTGGTTCTGGCGGCGGCTCGGCTGCTGCCTCGCCGAGCTGCACCGGCTGAGGCGGCTGCGCTGCTCCCTCTGCGACGGGCTGGCACGGCTGCTGCTGGGTCGGCTGCTGGGACGGCTGATCTGGCGCCTCCTCCTGGGGCGGCGCCGACAGCAGCTGCGACATCCGCATCCACTTGCTCGGGGGCGGCTGCGACGAGGCCTTCGGCCGCCCCTGGACCTGCGGCGGGGCTGGCGGCGGCTGCGACGCGGCGTGCGGCGGCTCCATCTCGTAAGCCTGCAGGCGACCCGTGGCGGACGAGATCCAGGCGCGCTGGTTGGCAACGAGCCTCTCCAGCTCCTCCACCCTCTTCCGCGCCTGCTCACCCTGCGACAAGGCCTCCGCGAGGGACTGGCCGCCCGCCACCGTTGACGCCGTCGCCAAGGAAGACTGCGACGTCGCGTCGTCCACCATAGTCATCGAAGCGGCAGCTGCCGCCGCGCGCTCAAACATCTCCCCCGTGGATGCCCCAGAGCCATGGCTCTTCTGCGAAGAGTCGGGCGGGGAGCCTGCGCCCAACATCCTGCCGATGAGGGTGTTGTGAGCCGAACCTGGCTGCAGCGTGTAGAACGGAATGGCAGGTTCCTGCGAGGCAGTCTTTCTGACTTTGCCCATGCCTGACGAAGACACTTGAACCGCAGAGTGCCACAGTCAATTGGATTTAGACGTAATGGGGCAGACGCATCAAACACAGAAAACGAGGAGGACGAGGGCGAGGAGAAAGGAGGAGAGGGGGAGACTGAAGATGAGGGTAGGTAGGAGGGGGAGGAGGAGGAGGAGGATGGAGGAGGAGGAGGAGGGGAAGAGGATGGGGAGGAGGATGGGGAGGAAGAAGGGAAGGGTATGGAGTAGGGGAGGTGGTGATGGTGCGACCACCGTTTCTGTTTAACACATGTTGCTCAGTATTGCAGTATCCCCGAATTGGTCTGGGTCAGCGATGCATGGGCGAGCGTGGCGTGTGATGTGCTTTATCTATTGTGCAATGTGGCGACGCAGTGGAGTTAGTGTGCATCCTCTTGACTCTCAGAGTCCTCCTCGATCCTCATCCTCTTCGCAAGCCGCATTCGCATCGTCGTCACCTCCGTGTTTACCATTTTCCGCCCTCTGTATTTCAGAACGCGTTACATCTTCGTCACTGTAAGTGCCCTCATCATCATGAACACAACCATCACCATTACCATCACCATTGCATCATTAACATCAACATTACCACCCTGGTAGCCAATTCACTTGGCCATCTATTGAGTCAGTCTTTCAGTTTGCGAACCTCGCCATCCACCACTTACTTCCAGCGCGAACACGCGCAGACATCGCAGAGGTCGCGACTGCCGCTGAAATATGGAGGGACGAGGCGCCAAGCAGCGCACACAGTGTCATGATGCCGCCAGGAGGTGTCCAAATTTTCAGTGGGCGAACGTTTCAGGGCCACGGGATGTGATCTACTTCATGTTTCATGTGTGCTCTAATCTGCGCACCCCTCAAAGCCACAGTTGGACCTCTAACCTGGCGGCGTCAAGCCAAACAAAACTGAACGTCAGAAGAAGCCAAACGCCCCCTCTGGGATTTCACCGCACGGAGGTGCGACTGCAGGCTCGGGTGCCCGCTCGGGCGTCCGCTCCTCGTGCGTCTGCGGCTTGGCAGTCGCGATCACCGCCCTGTCCAGCGGCGCGATCGCGGTCTTGTCCAGCGGCACCTGCTGCGCCTGCTGCACGGTCACGGGCTTCACCTGCTGCGCGGTCGTGGGCTTCACCTGCTGCACGGTCACGGGCTTCTTCTGCACGGTCACGGGCTTCTTCTCGCCGACGTTGGCCGCTGGTTTCTTGCCCACCGCGGGCTGCTCCTCACCAGCCGACTCGCCGACGTTGGCCGCTGGTTTTTTGCCAACCTCTGGCTGCTCCTCACCAGCCGACTCGCTCTCGTCATCATCAGGCTTGGCACTCTCCGCGTCCTCCATGTCGCCACCGTCCTCCACGCCGTCACCGTCCTCGCCGTCTTCGGCGTCCTCGGCATCCGCAGCTGCATGCTCGCCCGCCTCCTCCTCCTCCTCCGCCTCCTCATCGTCGTCGACTTTGCACCGTTTCGCCATGCCGGAGAACGCCGCCGCGGGCCGCTTCATCGCGGCCGTCTCCTTCTGGATGAACTGCTGCTTCTCGGCCTCGAGCTCCGCCTTCGTGGACTGGCCAGAGCTGTACCTCTTGGCCGCGTCCACGAGCCACGTCTTGGCCTTCTCGAAGTTCGAGTCGGGCCTGGGCAGCAACTGCAGCACCTGCGACCGAGGATTCTGCCACAGCTGCAGCCACTCCACCCTGTTCTTCTTGACGACCCTGGCGAGGACGACATTGTCGTCCTTGAGCCCCCTCCACAGCACGTTGGGGGCCGCCGTCACGCTGGCGCCCGCGGGGTCCACCAGGTCGTCTGGAACCTGGCTGGCAGATATCCTCCCATCCTTCTCCTCCTCATCCTCCTCCTCCTTCTTCTCGTCCTCCTCCTCCTCCTCTTCCTCCCCTCCTCCTGCTCCTCCTCCTCCTGATCTTCCTCCCCCCGTTCCTCCGTCTCATCGTCGTCCTCCTCCTCCTCCTCCTAATCCTCCTCCTCCTCCTCCTTCTCCTCCTCCTCCCACTCCTCCTCCTTCTCCTCCTCTTCCTCCTCTTCCTTCTCTTCTCCCTCGCTCCCCTTCCATCTTTCTCATCCTCCATTTGCGGTGGTGGATGCTCTCCCGTGGAGCCTGCCACGCGAAGTTCTTCGTCCACACCGCCATCGGGCGGTCGTCAGCGAGCCTGTGCACCGAGGTGTACTCTGGCGCCGCGGAGTCGTCGCCGACGGGCAGCCGCCACGCTGCCTGGATGCGGTTCGCTCAAAATCATCATCATCATCGTCATCATCATCATCATCAGCATCATCATCATCACCATCATCACCATCATCATCATCATCATCATCATCAGCACCAGCACCAGCATCATCATCACCATCATCATCATCATCATCTTCATCATCATCATCATCATCATCATCATCAGCATCAGCATCAGCATCAGCATCACCATCATCATCATCGTCATCATCATCACCACCTTAATCATCATCGTCAGCATCATCATCCTCATCATAATCATCCCTATCATCATCAAACTCACCATCATCACCATCATCGGCACACCCCCAATATCCCTTACGTTTTCTAACAGTTTCGCGTTCGGTCGCGTGCCCTCGAATCGCCGACTATCGTCTCCTTCCCCACCTTGCGTCCCCCTCCTCCCCCTCCTCATCCTGTTCCTCCACCTCGTCCTCTTCCTCCTCCTCTTCCTCCTCCTCCTTATTTCCTTCCTCTTCTTCCTCCTCCTCCACAGAGCAGCCTGTAGCTCCTCGTCGAAGCCGACCCTCCAATCGCCGATGATGCGCGCGTGCTTGAACGCGGCCGCCGCGCCGCTCCGCATCGCACCCGACGGCTTTCTGCGGACGGGCTCCTCGGGGCGCGCATTCGTCGTCGTTGCGCGTCGTCCCAGTGTGCCCCCACCATCCTCGCCCCTTCGTGTCATCCCCCATCCCTCTCCTCATCCTCCTCGTTGTCCTCCTCTTTCCTCCCCCTCCTCCTCCTCCTCCTCCTCCTCCTCCTCCTCCTCCGCATCATCATCATCATCATCATCATCATCATCATCATCATCATCATCAGCATCAGCATCATAATCAGCATCAGCATCATCATCATCATCATCACCATCATCATCATCATCAGCAGCATCATCACCATCATCAGCATCATCGTCATCATCATCATTATCATTATCATCATAATAATCATCATCATCATCATCATCATCATCATCATCGTCTTTCTCCTCATCCCCCTCATCCTATTCCCCTCCTCCTCCGCCTCCTCCCCCTTCGACTCCTCCTCCTCCTCCTCCTCCTCCTCCTCCTCGCCCCTACCTTTTTTTTCCTGCGCCAGTCCTCCTGAGAGGCCAGCCCCTCTCATCCCAACTCCTCCTATTCTTCTCATTATTCCATCATTCGATGTTCGACCCAGTCTCCTGCGCAGCCTGAGCGTCGGCGCTGAGGAACGGCGCAGCCCAAGCTGGCGGCGTCTTCCTTTGGGGGGGTTCGCAAGCCGCCCCCTCCGCCTCCGCTTCGTCGTTATCGTCATCCCCCCCTCCTCCTCCTCCTCCCTTCCCCCCCCTCGTTATCTTCGTTCTCATCTCCCCCTCCTCCTCCCCCCCCTCCCCCGCCCCCACCCCCCACGCACGCGCGCGCACGCCTGCTCCTCGCCCCCATTCCTCGCTCTCCCATTCTTGTGATCGTGACGTCACCTACCCTCCTCATCCTCCTCGTCCCCAATCTCTTTCGCTCTTTCCTTCTCCTGCTGTTGCTGATCCTCTTTCTCGTCGTCGTCGTCGTCCACCTCCTAGCTCCACCTCCTCCTCCTCCTCCTCCTCCTCCTCCTCCTCCTCCTCCTCCTCTTCCTCCTCCACCTCCCCCACCTCCTCCTCGTGCTCCTCCTCCTGCCCCTCCTCCTCCTCCTCCTCCTCCTTCTCATCTTCCTTCTCCCCTCCTCCTTCTCCTGCTTCTCATCATCCTCCTCATTCCTTTTTAAACACATACAAGCCGGTCCTGCCGACCGCCTTGCCAACGTGCCGGATCATGGCCCGCGCGCTGCGCGCCGTGTCCGTGGCCCACGCGGTGGCCTGCTTGCCCAGCTTCCAGGTCGCCGCGTTGTCGTTGGCGACCGTCTTCAGGATCGCCTGCAAGGGGCTTGAATACAGCGCAGTGCAGAGCTGCATCAGCCGCGCCCCAATTCACAGCTCACCGACGGCTCACCGATCTCACCGATTTCGGTGAGATCGGTGAGCCATCGGTGAGTCGTGCCACGCGGCGCGGCTGAAGCAGACCAGCGTCGCGATGCATTCATCGATTGCCCCGTAGCCTCGCCCATCGTTTGGCACGCGCCGCCGCCGGGGCCCAGCGCCTCGCGCGTGAGCTTGATCAGCTGCACGTGCTCGAGCAACCTCTCCTCGTCTTGCGAGTCGGTCATGCACGTGGTGTACTGGATCCTTAGCACGCTCGGTAACGGTACATCCTCCTCTCCTCCTCTTCTCCTGATCTCCTCACCTCATTCCTGATCAAGTTTCTTCTCCTCACTTTCTCCCGTCGCCACCTCCTTCCTCCTCCCCATCCTCATCCTCCGCCCGCTCCGCTTTCTATTCCCGCTCTTCCGCCTCTTCCTCATCCTTCTCATCCCCTCGACCTCCTCCTCCCCCTCCTCCTCCTCCTCTTTCTCCTACCCCTCCCTCCCCCTCCCCCTCCTCATCCTCCTCATCTTCCTCCTCCCCTTATTCCTCCTTCTCCTCCCCTTATTCCTCCTCCTCCTCCTCCTCCCCCTCCTCATCCCTCCCTCTTCCCTGCTCTCATCTTCTCATTTTCCTCCTCATTTCTCCTCCGATCGATCCCTGTCACGGCCTCTGATCCACTCGACGCCCGTCCCCATTTGTCGTCGTCGTCCGTCGCGAGGCCCTCCCCTCCCCCCCCTTCCCGCCGCCTCGACCGAGCGATCGATCGACGGCTCGATCGATCTTGCCCATCAAACCTCGTCTGACGCGCGCCCGAGGGCGGCACGCGTCAGTCGTCTGGATGTGCGCCTTCCAAATCGGAAGGAGCTTCTCGTACACCTCGTCGCCGCCGCCATCGGCGGACGCGCCCCCTCCGTCGGAGGGCTCGGGAGCGGGGTCCCTGGCCGCCTTGGGCGTCATCTTGAGCGAGCGGGGCGCTCAAAACGGCCCTCAAGGCTGGCGAGGGGCCGAGAGGGGTGGCCAAATCAACAAACCGAAACACAGAGAATCGTTGCAGAGGAGATTTGGGAGGAAGAGTGGAGGGGAGAGGAGGAACGGAGGGGGGGGGAAGAGGCAGAGGCGGAAAGAGGAGGAACAGGAGAAGGGAGGTTCGAGGCGGATCCAACGTGAGGAGGATCGGATACTAGAAAAAAAGGGTTGGCGCGCTCGAGTTGCATCTGACATCGCACCCCTCCCTTCGCGACGCCGCGAAATATATTAGTACTAGCGTGACTATATGTGCGCGTTCAGAATAAGTTGCTGTTCGAAGATGCTGAACGCGCGGAGCTTTGCAAATCAAACAAATATTTTGTTATAAATGCCAGAAACAGTGATAACATGATGTTTGGTGATGAACACTTATCGATAGTGACTATGTTGGGTCACCGTGACCAGTGTGGGTCACGGTGACCATTTTGGGTCACCGTGACCTTTTTTGGTCACAAGACATGCGTGACCCAAAACAGGTCACGCAAGACCTCTGGGTCCAGCCCGCGCCAGAATTCGTCCAGCTCATCGATGCCTACGAGGTGCGTTGGAAATCTCGCGAGACGGAGGTCCGGAGCCGCTGGAAAGCTCCCCAACGTTGCTGTACGTTCAAAGCTGTCCTTCACAGCCCCGGAGCTCCCCTACAGCGCTTCTGAAGCGCTGCCAGGAACGCTTCCACGCGTGCCTGCACGCGTGCAGGCACGCGTGGACGCGTGCCGGAAGCGCTCCCGGACCCGCTGCCGGGACAAACACGCCCCTGCGGGGATTCTGGAGCGGCGAAGATGGGCTGCTGGTAGGCACCACCACCGTCCGGCTTCTAATCTCAAGCCCTCTAGCCCTCAGAGAGCTCTCCGGGAACATTGTCCGCCCAGGCCGGGTCGGCCAACTAGCTCCAGCCCGCGCCGGAATTCCTCTAGCTCATCGATGCCTCCAGCCCGCGCCGGAATTCCTCTAGCTCATCGATAACGAAAAGCTCTACGAGGTACTAGCTGCACCCCGCGCCGGAATTGCTCTAGCTCGTCGATGCCGAAGAGCTCTACGAGGTATTATTCTTAACCTTCCAGCAACTAGCTAAGGGAAGCTCTACGAGGTACTAGCTCCCGCGCCGGAATACCTCTAGCTCATCGATGCCGAAGAGCTCTACGAGGTACTAGCTCCGCCCTGCGCCGGAATTCCTGTAGCTCATCGATGCCGAAGAGCTCTACGACGTACATGGGGGCGTCCCAAACCCGGAGAACAAAGAGGCACTCACACTTGGCAGCGTCCAAAACCCGGAAAGAAAAGAGGCACCTGCTGGCGGGCACCAACACCGTCCGGCTTCTAATCTAAAACCCTACAGCTCTCAGAGAGCTCTCCGGATCTCTTTCCTGGGGAGCTCTGGGGGGCTCTCCTGAAGCGTTTCTGAAGCGCTGCCGGGCACGCTTCAATGCGTGCCTGCACGCGTGCAGGCACGCGTGGACGCGTGCTGGAAGCGCTCCCGGACCCGCTGCCGGGACAAACACGCCCCTGCGGGGATTCTGGAGCGGCGAAGATGGGCTGCTGGCAGGCACCACCACCGTCTGGCTTCTAATCTAAAGCCCTCTAGCTCTCAGAGGGCTCTCCGGGAACAAACGCAGCACAGCACACGCTCGCGGCCCAGCCTGCGTGGAGACGCTGGAAATCTCGCGAGACGGAGCGCCGGAGCAGCTGGAAAGCTCGTATACGTATCTGAAAGCTGGACAAGCTGTCCTTGAAAGCTCCGGGGGCTGCCCTGCGGCGCTTCTGAAGCGCTGCCAGGAACGCTTCCACGCGTGCCTGCACGCGTGCAGGATCGCGTGGACGTTTGCCGGAAGCGCCCCTGGACGGGCTGCCGGGACGAACAGGTTGCTGCGGGGATTCTGGAGCGGCAAATATGGGCTGCTGGCAGGCACCACCACCGTCTGGCTTCTAATCTAAAACCCTATACCTCTCAGAGAACTCCCCGGGAACTTGAATTCGCGCGTGACGCAGGTCTGGGGGCGCTTGAGACCTTCCCTGCGAAGCTCTGAACACTCTGGAAAGCTTTCTTTAAGAGCTGGGGGGGCCCCCCTGCAGGCGTTCTGAAGCACTTCCTGGCGCTCTTCCACGCGTGCCTGCACGTGCGCAGGCAGGCGTGGACGCGTGCCGGAAGCGCTCCCCGACAGGCTGCTTGGTCCGGCGAGTTGCTGCGCGGATCGTGGAGCGGTGGAGGTGGGCTGCTGGCAGGCACCACCACCGTCCGGCTTCGAATCTAAAACCTTCTAGCTCTGAGAGAGCTCTCCGGGAAATTACTCTTAAGCTTCCAGCAACTAGCTAAGGGAAGCTCTACGAGTTACTAGCTCTCCAGCGCGCCGGAATTACTCGTAAGCTTCCAGCAACTACCTAAGGGAAGCTCTACGAGTTACTCGTAAGCTTCCAGCAACTAGCTAAGGGAAGGTCTACGAGGTACCTGTCCCGAAGAGCCCTGGGGGGCTCTCCTGAAGCGCTTCTGAAGCGCTGCCAGGAAATTCCCCACGCGTGCCTGCGCGCGTGCAGGCACGCGTGGACGCGCGCCGGAAGCGCCCCGGACCCGCTGCGACCCTGGGCAATTGTCGCTGCGGGGAACGTGGAGCGCCGCAGGCAGGCACCACCACCGTCCAGCTTCTAATTTAAAAACCCTACGGCCCTCAGAGAGCCCTCGGGGAAAACACCGGGGAGCGAAAGCTTTCCTGGCGAGCTCTGGCAAACTCTCCTGAAGCGCTACCAGGCACGCTTCCACGCGTGCCTGCGCGCGTGCAGGCACGCGTGGACGCGTGCCAGAAGTGCTCCCGGACGGGCTGCCGGTTCAAAGAGGTTGCTGCGGGGACTCTGGAGTGGCGAAGATGGGCTGCTGGCAGGCACAACCACCGTCCGGCTTCTAATCTAAAGCCCTATAGCTCTCAGAGAGCTCTCCGGGAATTTGATAGCGCCCAAACCCCGGAGAGCAACGAGGCAACTCTGGAAAGCTTTCCTTACGAGCTCTGGGGAGCCCCCCTGAAGCGCTTCTGCAGCGCTGCCAGCGATTCTTTCACGCGTGCCTGCACGCGTGCAGGCACGCGTGGACGCGTGCTGGAAGCGCTCCCGGACCCGCTGCCGGGACAAACAAGCCCCTGCGGGGATTCTGGAGCGGCGAAGATGGGCTGCTGGCAGGCACCACCACCGTCCGGCTTCTAATCTAAAACCCTCTAGCTCTCAGAGAGCCTTCCGGGAAAAACTCGGAGAGCAAATAGGCAGTCCGGGAACTGGGCAGCTTTCCTGGAGAGCCCCGGGGAGCTCTTCTGAGGCGCTTCTGAAGCGCTGCCAGGCACGCTTCCATGCGCGACTGCGCGCGTGCAGGCGCGCGTGGATGCGTGCCGGAAGCGCTCCCGGACCCGCTGCGACGTTTTACAAGTCGCTCCGGGGATTCTGGAGCGGCGAAGATGGGCTGCTGGCAGGCACCACCGCCATCGGGCTTCTAATCTAAAGCCCTATAGCTCTCAGAGAGCTCTCCAAGAAAAGAAGCACTCAGACGGGGCACCTTTCCTGAAGAGATCTGGGGACCTCTCCTGAAGCGCCTGTGAAGTGCTGCCAGGCACGCTTCCACGCGTGCCGGAAGCGCTCCCGGACACGCTGCGAACTCAAACAACTCGCTGCGACGATTCTGGAGCGGCGAAGATGGGCTGCTGGCAAGCACCACCACCGTCCGGCTTCTAATCTGAAGCCCTATAGCTCTCAGAGAGCTCCCCGGGAACTTTGTCCGCCTGGGCTGGGTTGGCGAACTAGCCCATCCCCGCGCCCGAATTCCTCTAGCTCATCGATAACGAAGAGCTCTACGAGGCATTACTCTTAAGCTTCCAGCAACTAGCTAAGGGAAGCTCTACGAGTTATTCCTCTACTTAAGCTTCCAGCAACTAGCTCAGGGAAGCTCTGCGAGTTACTCTTCTAGCTTCGCCGCTAATGCTCTAAAGGAAGCTTTACGAGTCACTAGCTCCACCCCGCGCCAGAGTTCCGCTAGCTCATCGATGCCGAAGAGCTCTACAAGGTACTAGCTGCACCCCGCGCCGGAATGCCTCTAGCTCATCGATGCCGAAGAGCTCGACGAGGTACCAGCTCTACCTTGCGCCCAGATTCCTCTTAGCTCATCTAGACGAAGAGCTCAACGAGGTACTCTGGAGAGCTTTCCGGAAGAGCTTTGGGGAGCTCTCCTGAAGCGCTTCTGAAGCGCTGCCAGGCATGCTTCCACG